AGAGAGAGAGAGAGAGAGAGAGCATGAGATAGGGGAGGGTCAGAGGGAGAAGCAGACTCCCCGCCGAGCAGGGAGCTCAATGTGGGGACTCGATCCCGGGACTCCAGGACCATGACCTGAGCCGAAGGCAGTCGCTTAATAGACTGAGCCACCCAGGCATCCCTTAAAAATAAACTCTTAAAAAAAAAAAAAGTTCTTCCATGGAAGCCAAAAGCACAGCTGAAGTACCACTGGGAATAGTGATTCTAGAAGGGACCTAAAAACAGAGCCTCCCGGTATGTTGCTCTCTGTTCTGGCTTGAGCCAAAAGCAAGTGCAAAAAGTCAACAGGTATTTGTTGGGGGCCGTTGTGCATGAGGCCCTGCTCTGGGGGCTTGTGTTCCAGAGAGGGGAGATCATTCCAGGCACTGCTATGGAGAAAGGTCACATGAATACTGTGACAGTGAGTGACTAGCACTCTAGCTAGGGCAGCCAGAGACAGCCTCACTCAGAAGATTCGGATGGAGGTGAGCCTAAATGTTAAGAAGCCTCAAGGTGTTCAGGAATGGGTATGTGAGGGAGGCCTGGCTCACAGCCCATCCCAGCCCTGGGTTCACTGGGAGTCAGCCTGGCTGCTCCAGCCCCAGGGCCTCAGGGCAGGATGCAGAGGGGGCCAGCTGTGGGAGGGACCCCTTACCCTATGACAGAGAGCACTTCCCAATGACTTGAGGGGATTTAAGCACCAGGAGACCCTCACCCACAGGCCAGAGAGTAATCTCCAGCCCTGGGGTCAGGGCCAGGAGACCCCTCCATCTTCCTCAGTCTCCCGTCTGCATTGATCATTAGCCAGGATGAGGCTGTGAGGCCACCAGGGATACTGTCTGGAGGCAGGAGCATCTCCTGCCTTCCTACCTCATTTCAGATGAGGAGCAGGCCTCTTGCCAGGTCCCCACACAACCCTACACAATGTGACCCCAGCCTCCTCTTGCTTCCTCATCCGGTCACACCAGTGACCTTTGGAACATGCAGCGTCCTTTCCTGCCTCTGGGAGTTCACCCATGCTGTTCCCTCTTTGGGAAACACTCTTCCCCTGCTTTTTACAAGGCTGGCTCCTTTTCACCCTTGGGGATCAGCTTACAAGGGCCCTTTCTCAAAGTGGCCTCTCTCAGCCCTCAGCCGGTGGACTCAGCCCTGCCCATCTCCATCTGCCCACCCCGCTTGTGTGCTGCCTTCATAAATCGCATTCAAACATTTATTCGTTTGCATACTTGGTACCATGTCTCTTCCTAGATAGGGCATGAGCTTTGTAAACTCAGTGTGTGTATCTGTCTGGTTCACTGCTGGGTTCCGGCCCAGACCATCTGAGGAGTCAATAACTCTTTGTCGAAGGTTTGACTGAATGAACGAATGACCTGGTCAAAGCTGCAGAAGAGGATCTTCCCACGGCCCAGGAGACGGGCATGCAGGGAACCGAAAAGACATTTCAAAGGCAGTGTGGTGTGGCAGAGAGAATAAGAGGGTAATGAAGCCAGAACTCCTGAGTTCTCACCAGCTGTGCGATGTCGGGCAATTTTCTTAACCTCTCTGTGCCCGAGTTTCCACATCTGTCCAACGGATGGCACTGACATCTTAAGGATGTTATGTATCTTAAAGCATTACATGGTTTCAAGGCCAGGTAGGCCCAGGTCTGGCCCCCAAGGGTGGGGGGGCAGTAGGCAACAGGGTGTGAATGAGGACTCAGACGGAATCCGTAGGGCTCAGGGGCTACTCTCCTCTTACCCACCTCTTCAGATTCTCTGAGGTGAGGAAGGCTTTCGAGGAGATGAGCTTTTTGAATTCTCAGCTTTTCACAAAAATAGCCTCGGCGGCAGAACCCCTGGTTTCAAGCAGACAATTTCTTTGTTACTCAGCTGCTGGTGGGTGGGTGGGTGGTGCCACGGGCTGCTCATTTCCTGAATGAACAGCTGTGCCCTCTCCTCGTTGTAGAGAATAATCATAACACTACTTCAAACCTTGGCCCGGCCTCCTTCATTCACAGCTCTCCGGCTGCCTGGCAGCCTCCACACATGTCCACCAGCCGGCAGGTGGGGCCTCCAAGAAAGGCCGGACACGAAGTGAGGGTCAGGCCCGTGGCCCTCGCCTTGGGCTTGTCCATGGCAGACCAGGCCTTGGCCTCTCACACGTAGCCTGGATATCTTCCCCCTCCCTTCCCTCACCCCCGTCCGGCCACACCGGCCTCCTTCCTATTCCTCAGGCACTCCGAAGCTCTCACCCATCCGGGGACCTTCCGACCAACCATTCCCTCTTCCCACGGTGTCTTCTCTCTGGATTCTGGCAAGTCTGGCTCCTTCTTGTCACTTGGGGCTCAGCTCAAACATCATCACCTCAGAAAAGTCCTCCCTGGCTACTCCCCGCTGGTGGCCCATTGGCTTGTAGTCCATAGCTTGCCACCAACAGCCCACGGCCAAAGCTCTGCCAACTCAGGACCCATGGGGAGAAGAGCCGGCCTTGGCATCGACGTTCCAACCCAACTCCTGACTCTGGTTCTGATGGGCCACCAGGGGTCCTGTGGCTCAGGGGAGAGGAGAGGGCATTGCCCAGATGAAAGCATGGGGGCCGTTTCCCGGCGGAAGGGACAGTGGGTGGTGGGCAGGGGAGATCGCAGCCATCGACCCCAGCCCCAGCCCCAGCCCTTCTCCTGGAGCGTGTGAACCATGGGTCTAGGCCCCTGTTCCGTCACTCTGTCACCTCCAAGCTGGATGACTCTGTGAGGTCCCCCATCTTGCCCAGCCCATTTCCTCATCCAGGTAAACCTCACAGAGTTGTTATAAGCAGCAGGTGAGCTGATCAGCCCGTGCAGGCACTTTGAAAACTATGATTATCTTTGGAAGAGAGGAAGACAAGAAGAGAAGGGTTTAAGCCGGTTGAGGTTCCTCTGGGCGGGGTCCTCAGTCTAGCGGGTGGAATAGAATCCGAACTCCAGGCTTCAGGTGACAATGGGCAACAAGGTTCCCCATTTCTTGTGTAGGATCAGAAACCTAGGCTGTCTGAGCCTGATTGTTCTGGGAGGTTCTGGAGGGGCAGGGACACGTGGTGGCATTGGAGGGCCCTGGGTGCAAATATCCTTCTAACCAGACAATGAACACGGACAATTCCCTCCTCCTACCTGAGCCTTACGTCCTCGCCAGCAAAATAGGGGTGATGATAATAAATTGCTGGATCGTTGCGGGCCTTGAATGGTGGCAAAGCCTACTGCCCCACAGCTGGGGAGTCCTCAGGGTATCTTACTAGCTGTTGTTATTATTTGCATATTTCTTGATCATTTCCCTTTTGACTCCCTCCTCCTTTTAATTTCAATAAGACTTCTGTTGAAAATGCCAGCCTGCGTCAAGAGTGCTAAGGATTATAGGCGGGAAAGCCTTCCTTCTTTCCAAGCTGAGGCTGAGGAGAAAGGATGGGGAGGAAGAGAAGCCCCTTTGTGGCAGCCTCTCTAGCGGGGCCTGAGGCTTAGCTACGGACTGTTCTGGAAACACCGACAGTGGCTCAGAAAGGGCCTGCTTGCCTCCTTTACAGAGAGGCCGTGAGGATCAGAGTCAGTAAAAGATTTTCCCAAGTGCGCACAGCCTGGGCGTGCTGGAGCGGAGATTCACACCCAGGGCCTCTCTGTTGTGGAAACCAGGGCACTGGGAAGGGGGCAGGGGCTGTCTGTCCTGGAGTGTGTGGTGTGTGTGTGTGTGTGTGAGTGGTGTGAGAGTGTGTGTGTGGTGTGAGTGTATGTGTGTGTGGTGTGTGTGTACGCGTGTGTGGTGTGTGTATGTGTGTGGTGTGAGTGTGTGGTGTGTGTGAGTGTGGTGTGTGTGGTGTGAGTGTGAGTGTGTGTGTGGTGTATGTGTGGTGTGAGTGTATGTGTGTGTGGTGTGTGTGTGGTGTGAGTGTGTGTACGCGTGTGGTGTATGTGTGGTGTGAGTGTGTGAGTGTGTGTGTGGTGTGAGTGTGTGTATGTGTGTGTGGTGTGAGTGTATGTGTGTGTGGTGTGTGTGTGTGGTGTGAGTGTGTGTACGCATGTGTGGTGTGTGTGGTGTGAGTGTGTGTGTGTGTGGTGTGTGTATGTGTGTGGTGTGAGTGTGTGGTGTGTGTGAGTGTGGTGTGTGTGGTGTGAGTGTGTATGTGTGTGTGGTGTGTGTGGTGAGTGTGAGTGTGTGTGTGGTGTATGTGTGGTGTGAGTGTATGTGTGTGGTATGAGTGTGTGTGTGTGTAGCAAGCTTATCACTCCCTACGGGGCTTCTGAATTCAATTCAATTCAATTCAATTCAATTCAATAGAAATATCTTCTACTGTGGGCCAGAGAAGATGAGCGCCTGTGATTGCCCATGTTCACGTACTCACAAGGATCTCCACTGAGCGAGGGATAGACCTGAGCCCAGTGTTGTGCTAATGGAGGCCGGGGGACACTCTGAGAATCAGAAGGTAGAGGAAGGTCTGAGAGTCCCTGGAAACTGGGCTCTCCCCGCCCTCTCCCCTCAGAGAGGGTTCCTCTCTGCTGAGACCTCTGTTCTCCCAGACTTACCCCTCTCCACCCCGCGGCCCCCAGTACACGCGCATGTACACACACACACACACACACACACGCACGCATGCACGCACATGCACTCCCACTCACTAGCTCTCTAACTGCCAGGAATGCAGGCCGTCCCAGCTTCTCTCTCCCTGCATTCCTCAGCGGCTACTCCCACCTGGCAGGGCAAATTATACCCTGGCCTGGCAATAAAAGCCACTTTCCAAAAAAAGAAGCTTTAGGCCCCGAGAGATGCAGCTCCCTCTCTCACCCAGCCTGTGCCTGACTCCGGAGGCGGTGTCTGGCCCAGAGGCAACAGGGCCCCGTGTCCCTTTAAGCAGGGAGTACAAATTCTCATCGCAGTCCCTCCCTCCTGCTCTTCCTGACGTCAGGAGGAGGGCGTGTGTGAGTGAGTGAGTGAGGGGCTCGAGGTGCTGCATGCTCACACACACACACACACACACACACACACACACACACACACACACACACGAGTCGTACCCACAACACATCCTTCAGACCATCCCCTGCTGGCCAGCTCCGAGCCCAGAGAGAGGCGGAGTGCTGAAGGCGGCTGCAGGAGCCAGTGCCTGGACCTCGGCAGCCAGGGAGAGGTAAGGGTCAGGCCTGGGCGGCGAGGGCAGGGCAGCTTGGCAGGGGCAAAGCAGGGAGGAAGGACGCCGTGGGGCTGGGAAGGTGGGTCCCTCCCCTGGGGCTGGCCCAGCCCCGTTCAGTTTACAGAGGGGGGGTGTAGGAGCGGATGTGGATGAGCCCACCCTGTCCTCCCTCCTCCCCTCCCTCCCTCCGTCCCTCCTCCTGGCCCCCAAGGGAAGCTGAGGCCCTGTGGCTCCCTGTGAGAGAGAGAGAGAGAGAAAGAGTGTGTGTGTGTGTGTGTGTGTGTGTGTGTCTGGGACTTGTGTCTGGCTCAAGAGGCAGAGAATAGCAGACACCTGCCAAGCCCCAGCCTCCTGTCTGGGAACCAGGGGAAGAGAAATGACTGGGGAATGAATAATCGTGCTCCTACCAGATGCCAAAAGGAGAATGCAGCAGGGAGCATGTGGGTCTGTCCCCCTGGAATTTGGGGCTGGGGCCGGGGTGGGACCATCTAGGGCAGGCAGATAGTTGGACCTGGAACAGCTGTCTCGTCCTGACTCTATTTCATCCCCAACGCGATGGGGATAATTGTTTTAATTGGCTTGGAGATGTGGCTCCATGTAATTATCTTCGCCTCAGAGCCACCCCTACCCAGAGCTCTTGCCTCTCCTGAGGCCACTCCTCTCCCCTGCTTGCTGGTCTTGCTCTGACCTCCCCCCTTGCCAGGGTGTAGCCCCGGGGGCAGGGGGCGGGCTAGGCTGCTGGCCGCCAGCTGCGGGATGCAGGGACTCGGGGCAGCCTGGGCTAGCCCCAAGTCCTTGAGGGGCCTTCCCCGGGCACAAGGAGTCTGGGCAGAGATAAGGGGTGATGCTGGCCCCCGAAAGGGAGACAGCAGGTTCCTGCAAAGCTGCCAGCCTGCAGCCTCTTCCCAGGGAGAGGGGAGGGACGCTGAGCGAGAACAATAATAAATACAGAGTGTGAACTGCTGCATCCGCTGGGGCTGGGGGAGGGGAGGAGGAAGTGCGCCTGGGTGGAGGGTGGGCAACCTCTCTGAGGGCCTGGCACCGTGCCCCCCTGGATGTGCTCCAGAAGGGGCCTCTTGATGGGGAGGGGCAGTCTCCGGCCCCTTGGAGGATGGGGAGCCAGTTTTTGTCCCCCAAACTGACTCCATTCCAGAGGCCTCTGGGCCCTCCAAATTCTGGATGTTTCCTTCACCCAGACTCCCTCCGCCTACCCTCACCATTTCCTTGAAGTCCTTTCCAACATCTATTTCCCATATCTGTCCCACCCCGCTGGGTCTGTCTGCCCTCCACTCCAAGAAAAAGGTCTAAGCAGGAACTGGCCGCACAGGGGCCTGGGAAAGGCCAAGGGACAGTATGGGCCACAGAGTCCCCTCTCAGGCCTGGCAATGTTCACGGATGCCCACCGGCCACGGAGGGGCTCTGGAGGGAGGAATAGGGGGTCCTACACAGCTAGCCTGTGGGGAGGGGACACCCACAGGCTGGTTGTTCTGGAGGCAGGTCCCCCAGATTGGCACCAGCAGAGGGCGCTCCGGGCTTGCCTGAGCTGCTCACATCTACTGGTCACGACCAGCACAGCCAAGTCCGGGGGCTTGGGACAGTTGGGACCCGTGTCCACGCAGAGCAGCAAGGTAGGAGCAGAAAGTAGTGGGGGTCTTCTCCCCTGCTCCAAAGCTGATGGAATGATGGTCACCGGGGTGGCGGCTGGCACGCTGGAAAGCTCTGGGCTTTGGGGTCACACTGATTTGAGTTCAGCTACCCTAAGTGTGACTTTGACAAACCCTTTCCTTTCTCCGGGGGGACTCAGAGTGGGAAGTGACTTGCTCAGGGTCACACAGCCTGGCAGAGGTGGGGTGTGAGCATGGCTCTTGAGGTGCCCCTCCTGGCACCTTCACCCTCACTGATGCTAAGGAAGCCCAAAGCCCTTGTCACCTACCCCAGGGCAGGAGGGGCCTGTGACAAGGAGAGTGAAAAGGTCTCCACGAAGCTCAAATATTCGCTGGGGCAGTCCCTCACCCCCATACACACGCGCACACGCGCGCACACGCTGCCGGAGGGGGAAGAACCAGGTTTAATTAGGTCACCTCCAGCGGCCGGAGCAGCTCTGGCACTGATGTATTTTAAGGACTGTCTGGGTGGCTGGGGGAGGGGAGGGACTGGGGAAGTGCCAGCTTCTGGCTGGTGGTCCTGAGGCGGTTTCCTCAGGCTCCCAGGGCCACCCACCGTAGATAAGACCCCAATGTTCAGGAAGCCCTCCCAGCACCATCCTGTGCTCCATGGCCTTCCCCTTTTTAAGTCATCATATCCTCTCCTCCCCCGGCTGTTCCTCCACACTGGGGGCTCGGGGCTGGGACATTTTTATTGGGGGAGTTGTTTTTAGGCTTGCCAGAGTTGGCAAGTGATTCACCCAAGGTCATAGTCTGAGTCAGCACAAAGCCAGAAATAGAACCCCAAGCCCTGACTCCCCAGTTCTTCCACGCCCCTGCTCTTCCTTCTCCAGGGGAGGGCAGGAGATGTCAGAGAGCTTTCCCCCCGCCTCCCAGAGGCCTTTCTGTAACCCACCCCCGCCCCCAACATCTCAGGTGCAGAAAGCACCACTCCTGACCAGCTGTGGGAACCCAGGAAGCCTCTTTCGCTCCCTGGGCCTTAGTTTACTCTTCTGAAGAACGGGGATAATAGTGGTCATTGTCATGTAGGGGTGTTGTGGGGACTGCCTGAGGAAATGGGGCCAGGGACTTGGCAGAACACTGGCACGTGGCTAACGATCAATACACGATAGCTGTCTCTCGTCATGTTATGCTATGCTGTGCTCTGGTCCGTCTGGTCCTCCCCCTGGAGGGTGCGGCTGTCTCCTCTCCGGCCTGTTGTCCCAACGCCTGGCATTCAGCTTCCTTTCAGTTACGTGTGTGCTTTTGACAACCTCAGAGGACAGTCGGACTGACCTTCAGTAGGCGTCTGGTCCAGTGATGTTTCGAGTAGTGAGGCCCAGAGAGGGTTGAGGGCTTGTCCCAGATCACACAGCACTGGGGGGGGGGGGGTGGAGCCAGCTTGCTCTCCCTACTCTGCCCCGAACAAGACAGATTTCGCATGGGCAAGAGAGGACTGTGACAAGCCATTTCCTGCCCCATTCCTTTTGGGGTACCTGAGAATTGGAGGAGGACCAGCACCAGGATGATGGTCACCTGCTGATGGGGCTGAGTCACACTGTATCACAGCCTCGCCTCAGGTTACCTCTGAACAGTCCTGATGTTCTGGTTTTACCTCCCCTGGTCCTTCCGTCTGCAGAATTGCCAGGGTTTGGCCCTCATGCAGGGAAATGAAGACAAGCTCGGCCGGGAGGGTCAGGGCCAGACCGCGTGGGCAGGGAGATGCACCCTCACAGGTGGGCCACCCACACAGCGGCTCCTCAGCCCCTCCCACACGCGGGACAGGTGCTAACTATTAGCCCTCTCTGACACATAAGGAAACTAAGGCTCAGAAAGGGAGGGTCACTGCCGAGTCAGGGTTCCGGCCCAAGCCAGAAATGGTCCCGGCCTGTCTTCGAACCCCCGGCGGCCAGTTCTGAAGGGCATCGTTCTGGGCAAAAGGTGCTCCCAGACAGTCAGACCGAGTCCCTTGGGGGCTGGGCTTTACTCTGAATCGAAACAAACGTCCTACACACTCATCTGTTTCTCTGCTTTTGGAGGAGTTTATTTTCCCCTTTAGTTTCTCAGGGAAAGTTCTTTTGGTAAAAACTCCAGCCGTGTTTTGGCTGAACCAGGAGCAGAATTTATCCTCACGAGAAGAGCACCCACCGTTTGCTTTCAGATGGATCTGAGCTCTTGTCATTCACGTGCTGTGTGACCTTGGGTGAGTCACTTCACCTCCCCGAGCCTCAGTTTCCTTATCTGTAAAATAGAAACAATGGGAATTCCAAACTTTCAGGGCAACTGGGAGATTTCAAAATGGAGAGTAGCCTCTGTAAGGACTTTTGCGCCGGGTACCGCATTCAGACAATAAAAGCCCATCTTTACTTGTCCCTTTCTGCAGCCACACTCTGGGGAGAGGGCCTGAACCAGAGGCTTGCCCTGCACCCCCTTGTTCTCTTCTCCCAGGGTTCTGGCAGGGCCCGGAGAGGGGAAGATCGTCCAAGGTCGCACAGCAAGTCAGTGGCAATGCAGGGCCTGAACCCAGGGCTCCAGAGCCAGATTGCCTTGGTTCTTGAGTCCTGGCTCAGACATTAATTGCTGTGTGGCCTTGAGTGAATGACTTAGTCTCTCTGAGCCTCAGTGTCCTCATCTGCAAAATGTAGGCATAATAGCAGCTGCTGAAGGGGTGGCTGCAGGAATTAAAAAGGGAGGGGGCTGGGCAGGGACCTGGTGGGTGGGCGAGTCCTTGGGGAAAGAGGAAAGAGGAGAGTGCGGGTGGGCTTGCCTCAGGCCAGCTGGGGCTCTCCTTCCGCCCACTCCTTCTTCCCCCTCAGCCCAGTTTAGCAGCCCCGTCTGGGAGGGCGGACCTCTCACCCAGCACCTGCTGTTCTTCCAGCATCCCGTCCCATCTCATCCTCCCAGGAGCTCTGGAGGACACGCTCTTGCACCCCCCATTTTCCAGAAGAGGAGGGAGGTGGGGGAGATCCCACAGCAGAGCTCTCTGCCCTGTGGAGGCTGCCCTGTCTGCGCCCCCAGCCCTAACTCCTGCTCTAAGGCTAACTGTGGGCTTCTCAAAGGAAGCCGGCAGGGTGAGTGGGGGTGAAAGAGCCCAGAGCAGCCAGTCCTGTGGGGCTGGAGGGCACGAAGCCCTATCACTGCCCTTATTCCATTCTCCTCCCTCCTGCTGCCTGGTCTGTTATGGGGAACTTATTTTGGGGAGGGGAAGGAAGGGGGCTGCTGCCCTCAACTCTAACCCTGGGTAATCGATCAATGCATCTGTCCCCCTTCCCCGCAAGAGGCCTTGGGTCAGGAGGCCGGGAGGCTGGGAGGCCAGAGCAGGGCCCCGCTCAGCTGCGTCTCCCTGGTAACGGCTGTGGGCTGTCTCTGCCCCTCCTCCCCACGACCTCCCAGCACCGGCTGTCACCGCCAAGCACAATACCAGCTCCGGGAAAACTGTGCAGTGGGCAGGCCGGGACCAAAGGAAGCAGAGCCTCTGTCCACCTGCCACCCCTGCTCAGGTGGGGTGGGGGCGCCCGGACGCGCGCCAAGGGGCCCGACGTCTCTTGCTTTCCTGGCCCTGACATCTTGGGTAGCTTTGCTGCCTGTTTTCCTTTTTTGATAACAGCTTTATGGCGATATAACTCACGTACCATATGATACAACTGTTTAAGGTGGACGAGTTAGGGTTTTCAGAATACTCACAGAATTGTGCGACAAGGCCACGGTCAACTTCAGGAGCTTCTCATCACCCCGGAAAGAAACTCTTGCACCCATTAGAATTTACTCCCCATCATCCCTTCCCCGCCAAGTCCTGGCAACCATGGATGTCCTTTTCGCCTCTGTGGACTTGTCCATTCTGGACATTTCGCGTAAATAACATCACGCAATGTGCTCTTTTGTGACTGGCTGGCTTCTTCCCCTCGGCGTAATGGTCTCCAGGCTCGTCTGTGCTGTAGCAGGTGTCAGGGCTCCGGACTCCATTCCTCTTTATGGCTGAGTCATATTCCACTCTGTGGCTAGACCACGGTTTGTTTATCCACTCCTCTGTTGACGGACGTCGGGTTGTTTCCACTTTGGGCCTATTGTGAATTACGCTGCTGTGAACGTTCAAGTCCAAGTTCTTGTGTGATTGCGTTTCCTTCTCTCTAAAAACGGGAATAAAAAGGCCAAACCCGGCCTTGACTCCTGGAGCAGGCTCAGAAAGAAAAACCTCACATCAGCTTGGGGGCGCTGTGAGGAGCTGTGAAGGGCCGCGAGAGGCTGTCCTCAGTCCCCGGCAGCTCTCCTGGATGGAGAGGCATGTTGGGGCACGGGGGCTGGGGAGGAGAAAGGCTGCATCTCCAGCCCCGGGGAGGGCAGAGCCGGCTTATCAGCCTGACCCAGAAGAAGCCCACTTGCTGTGTGACCTTGAACGGCGGGCAGGAGACCTGCCCCACTGTTGGATGGTGTGACTCCAAGGCTCTCCCAGCCCTTGCCACACTGTGTTTCGGGGCAAGTCAGCCCTGGAAATTCTAGGCTGGGAGTGGAGCACAGGATGGAGGCCAGAAATAGGGCTGAGGCTCAGGGATTTACCTCTGGCACTAGGGTCTTTGAATGAGGGGGTGAGGAAGTGGAGAACCCTGTCATCCTCACTCCTACGTGACTGTGGATTATGAGAGCTTCTTTATCTCCCCAGGCTTAGCCAAGCCTCACCATAGCCTGCGAGGGATCGAGGCAGGGTTTGTCTGCTCCGTTATACAGATGAGGAGACTGAGGCCAGTGGAACTACTCCCCAAGGTCGGCAGCTGGTACACGGCAGAGCTGGAGTGCTCCTGGTCCAGGTGTCCTGCCTGGTCCCACCGTGGCCCCAGGCTCTGTCCACAGCCTGGCTCAGTACTCTGAGCTGTCCTCCGTAGGGTTCCACGGCAGGGTCTCTTAGGGCCCGAGGCTTCCCAACCCTTGTGGGGAGAGGACTATGTTCTCTTCCTTAGTAGAGGGAAATACAGGATGAAGTTTTTCAAGGTCATCCAGGCACTGAGCAGGTGATGAGGGTATTTCTATCCATGAGCATTGATGATAGCAATTCAGTGGGTATCTCTGAGATGCTGGGAGCTATCACACACTCTATCAGTGACTCCTCAGCAGCCTGGCATGGTAAGTATCCCCAACCCCATTTCAGAGCAGAGGAAAATAGGGCTAAGGCAAACTCACCAACGTTCCCAAGGGCTTACCACGCCCGGGCACGGAGAGGGTCATTGACAGCAACCTCTCTGTGAAGTGAGAACCAGCACTAATCCCCATTTTACAGAGCAGGAAATTGAGTCAAAGGTTAAGAGCATTGACCAAGGCTGCACAGCCAGTTAGGTGCAGGAGGCAGGATTGAAACCCAGGTCACCTGGGTCCAGAGGCTGCACTCCCACCCGCCATGGTGGAACTGTCGAAGTCCCGAAGGTACAGCGGCAAAGCTGAGATTCAAACCCAGGTGTGTGGTTGTGAAGCTGCTCACACTTGTGCCAACCTGTGTTCCAGACTGTCACTGGCCGCTTTCCCCATCCCACCTCCCAGGCCCCTGGAGTTAGAGAATTGAGCTTCAAGCTGGAAGGACTTTGAGATTAGTTTTAGCTTGGTCTGGTTCTAGTGAGAGCCCTCTTCCTATTTTGTAGACAGCTTCCATTTCGCTGTGTCCCCAGATGGCAGAGAGGAAGCAAGCTCTCTGGGTCTCTTCTTCCAAGGGCACTAATCCCATCATGGGGCACCCCGCTCCTGACCTCACCTACACCTAATGACTTCCCAGAGGCCCCATCTCCAAATACCACCACCGTGGGCGGTTAAGACTTCCAGATATGAATTTTTGGGGGAACAGTTCAGTCCAGAGCAAGGATATAGGACTGTTTTGTCTTTCTGGGGAGGACCCCGAGTCAGGGTGGGGGGGCCGTGAGCGGCCTGAAGTCACTCTGTGAGGATTGGCGAGCAGGCCCAGCCCTCCAGACTTGGGCCAGGTGTCCAGAAGCCGCTCAACCTGGCCCACACTCACCTGTACCTCTTTCTTCCCATTCCAGACGGAGCCTGCGGCTGGTGCGGCTGCCGAGCAGGGCCAGGCCGGGCCCTGCCCGCAAGGACGCCCAAGCCCTTCGCCGGCCCCTGTGCCCGAGAGCCCACCAGGCTCTCTTGCTGGACCCACCATGACTTCAGAGCCCACGTCACCCCCAGTAGTGCCCCCTCTCCACTCCCCCAAGTCTCCTGTCTGGCCCACCTTCCCCTTCCACCGGGAGGGCAGCAGGGTCTGGGAGCGGGGCGGCGTCTCGTCCCGGGACCTGCCCAGTCCTCTGCCCACCAAACGGACCAGGACGTATTCAGCGTGAGTACCCGCCCCTCGCCCAGGCTCCAGTGATTTTCCCCAGGACAGGGCTCCAGCCCTGTCCAACCCCTGTTGTCCTCACTCAAGGACAGAGGAGCTGTGTATGGACCTTCCAGTAACTTCTGTGTTCGTTCATTCATTCTTCACTCCACTAAGATTTATTGAGCACCTGACCAGGGGACCCAGTGATGAATAAGACAGTCTCCACCCATAAACTGCCTACAATCCAGGAGGAATTTGTCCACCATTCACCTCCACCCAGGGTTGGGGGAGAAGGCACAGCATCAGGCGTCAGGGAGGGGAGGATGAGGTCCTAGTGGGTTTGGAAAATGTGTTAGGTGAAGAAGGAAGTTGGGTGTTCCAGGTACATGGGTCAGCCTGGACCAAAACGGAAGCAAGGGACTGACCTCTGGTGAGGGGTGGGCAGGCGAGACAGAGACCAGGCTTGGGCCTCTGGCACAGGTCACTGGCTGGGGTCACATGGGGGAGGCGATTTGGAGAAATCACAAGGGAGACTGACTTGCCTTGGCCAAAGGAGAGATTTTTGGTTTTGTTTTAAGTAAGCCCTACGCCCAACATGGGGCTTGAACTCACAACCCCAAGATCAAGAGTCGCACACTCCGCCGACTGAGCCAGCCCAGGGTCCCGAAAGGAGAGGTTTTGGATGGCAAGCACTAATTGTCCCCTGTGTCCAACCCAAGGCCAGGCACAGAGCAGATGCTTAATAAATGATGAATGAGTAGATACGAGACAAATAAGTCAATAGGATACTGCGACCTCAAGAGGTAGTGAGCTCCCCATTTTGAGAGAAATTCGAGTTTAGGCTGAGCATTCTTCCCTCAGAAATCTTACAACAGGAGCCCATGTAAACCTGAATCGTCTCAGGAGGAAAGGGTCCTGTGCACAGAGAGGGGCACTGGCTGGGAGTTAGGAGGCCCACTTGCTGTGCACCCTCGAAGGGCCAGCTCCCCTCTCTGGGTCTCAGTCTCCTTGTTGTCCAATGGGACCATAAGAGAGCATTACTGTGTGCAGTTTCTGGCCTGGGGAGGGTTTTCCACAGCCCTGGGACAGGCTCTGCAGGCAGGCAGGGCCCAGGGGGGCTGTGGGAGTCCAGGGAGGGGAGGCCCCAGGCCACAGCTCTTATCCCCCTACTCTAACCTCAGGACAGCCCGTGCCTCGGCTGGCCCCGTGTTCAAGGGCGTCTGTAAGCAGTTCTCACGCTCACAGGGCCATGGCTTCATCACCCCTGAGAATGGATCCGAGGACATCTTTGTGCATGTGTCTGAGTGAGTCCCTCCCGCCTCCCTATTCTTGGCTGGGCCCCTGCTGCAGGGTCCCGGCAGGGCCTCAAGAAATGCCTCTCCAAGCCTCTCCCCTGGCTGGCTGAAGTCTGTGTCCCTGGCATCTTTCTCCTCCTGTCGCAGGGGCTGCGGGTGCGTGTGTGCGGGGGGGGGGGGGGCGGTGGCACGTGGGGAGGGAACACCCAGGCCGCAGAAGCCCCGGGAACCGCTGGCTGAGCCCTGGGATCCTGCATCACGGGAACTGAGGACTGGGCCAGCCCCTGGGTCTTCTGGCCTGGAGGGTAGACGGACATGGGAGAGATGATCTAGGCCTGGCCCCCAGCCCTGATGCCAGGCAAGACCTGGTGGGGGCAGGGGGCACTGAGCTTCTCCAGGCCTCCGGACCCCCCTTGCCTTTCACGGCTCAATCCCCAAACAGCACAGACAGGGAGGGACATTTTCGGGTTCCCATTTTACAGATTCGAGCTGAAGCTCTGAGAAGGGAGGGGAGGCAGCCCTCAGGCCAGCCCACAGTGGGTGTCTGGGAGCGGGGCCTGCTGCTGGGCTGACGCCCCTCTCCCGCCCACCAGCATCGAGGGGGAGTACGTGCCCGTGGAAGGCGACGAGGTGACGTACAAGATGTGCCCCATCCCGCCCAAGAACCAGAAGTTCCAGGCTGTGGAGGTGGTGCTCACCCAGTTGGCCCCACATACTCCCCACGAGACGTGGTCCGGCCAGGTCGTGGGCTCCTAGGCCGGGGGGGCTCACGTGTCAGCTGCCGGGCAGGTGGGGAGCCACACAGGGTAGGCAGGCAGCCGCGGGCTCCAGGCCCCTGCACCTGCCGGGTCCCCCGGGCGGCCTCGGCGTACACGTGTCTGTCTGTGCTTGTGACCGCGAGCACGTGCCTCCATCCACCCCCCCGTGACCCACGACTGTTGTGTGAGCTGGACCAAAGGTGAGGCCCCCCGGGCCTGCCTTCTTGTTGTCGGCTCTCTCCTGCCCCTCCCTGCCACATCCGCACAGGACCCTCTCGCCCTTCTGTCCCCCGAGCCCCTGGGGCCTGCATCCGGGCCTGGGCCTGGGAGGCAGGGGGCGCCAGTGGGCCCCTCCCCGTGCAAGCGGGTTCCCCTTGCCTCTGCCCCAGGCCCAGCCCAGGGCCAGATTCTGCTTGTGCTACTTAACACCTCCCACCCTGGGCTTGGGTCTCCCGCGGTGGCCTGGACCCCTTGCCACAGAAGCCAGGCCAGCGAGAGCTCTGGGGGAGCCTCCCAGCCTCTGGCAGGGGAAGAGGGCAACCCCTGGAGTAGCAGACCCCTCCTCACTGCCACGGGCCCAGCTTCCCTTCCCTCCATCTGCTCTCTCCTCTCAGCATCCCCGAGAGGCACGCAAGGAGCTGAGGGCAGAGGTGGTTTTGGGGTCTCGGTCCCTCCTCCTCCTCCTCCTCGGCTTGGCAATGGCTCTGTGAGCTCCAAGGCTGCATCCTCTCCCCTGGGCCGCGCTGAGCCACGCTGCCACCACTCTCCGAGACGCAGATCTGTGGAGGGGTGGGGGCACATCTCCCCCTGCTTGGATGGAGCCAGCCCCTTCGCCCTGACCCACAAACTCCGCTGATGCTCTGCCCATGCCCAGATAAGGCTGCCGAGGACCTGGCGAGGCAGACGCACGTCCCCTCAGGCAGCGCCAGGCCTGGGCACCCACAGGATGGCCCTCAGCCCGAGACCACTAGCCCTGTAGCCCCTTGCTGGACCCTCTCCCCGAAGCACTACTGCTGGCCCCCACTAGGCCAGTGGCTGAGGTGTGTGGTCCCAATCTCATGCGTTGAGTCCCTTAAAGGGTGTGTGTGTGTGTGTGTGTGTGTGTATGTGTGTGTGTGTGTTTGTGTGCATTCACTCTCGGGGTGGGGGGTTGGTCTGGCCTGGGAGGCCAGAAAGGAGAGGCTTCGCCTCAATCCCCCCCATCACCACCACACCCCTTCCTAGAAAACACATTTGATGCAACAAGAAATGGGGGTCGAGGGAAAGCCTGCCAGGGACAGTAAGCCTTGAGACAGGGTCTGTGAGTAAAACAGGGGCTCAAATGCCCAGGATGAGGGTTATCTGTTTAGAAGGATCTCCAGTAGTGCAGGTACCCCTTGGGCCTCGGGGTAGAGATCAGCTGGGGTACGTGCACCCCAGCCCCCAGGCTCTACCAGGCTGGGTGGGGGGTCAGAGCTGCTGAGAAACAGAATGGCCCAGCCTGACACCCCAGTCTGAGCTGGAGCTGGCCTGACAAGGCCTGAGGACTTGCCCCAGAGGAATAAGGACTCCCTGGCTTCCTGGGTGGAAGGTTTATTGGTGCAGGTGATCTCCTGGAAGCTCCCCCCCAAGACTCCCTCCTGTGAGCAGACCCCCCCCCCCCTCCGTTTTTAGGCACTAGCCAGTAGACAGGATGTGGCAACATCAGCCCCAGGGCTGTCTGGGAGGCAGAGGGGCGGCAGTACCCCTCCAAACCCATAGCCCTGCAGTGTGGAGTCAGAAATCCTCCCAAGACCCCCAGCCGCCTGGACTCCCCCCCCCCCCGGCCCACCAACCTCCCATCCTTCCTAACACTGGCAATAAACCCTCAACTGTGACTCAGCCTGGCCCAGAGCTGCCTCTGTCTGTCTGGGTCCCGGGGGAGGCGCTTGGGGAGGGTACCCCCAACTTAACCCTTGTTTAGGGCTTCAATGGCCCACTCTCCTCAAGTGGATCAAAGACTTCCCGTGTGACCAGGCAGGGGGTGAGGGGAGTCCCTGCCCACTCTGCCTCGGCTCCCTCACGTAATGTCATCTGTGACTGGGGCCAATTATCCATTCAGACAGAGCTGACACCATACCTTGTTCCAGGAATTTTAATGTTTGTGAGAGAAAGTTCTGGCAAATACGCACCTTCCCTGGTGCTCTGCGCCCTGCCTGGGACAGGCAAGCAGAGCGGGCTCTATCTCGTACCAACACTAGTGCAGGTCTCCTCCCGGCGTAGACAGAAATCTGTTCTCTTTACAAGTACAAGCAGCAGCTGTAGCCAGGGCTGTCGGGGTGGAGGACGGAGCCGGCCCCCCTAGGAGCTGACCGGCTGGGGACGGTTGTCCACGCGGACCCTGGCCCCATCAAGGTGGGCCTTGCAGCAGGTAATAGGAGGTAGGCATCCTGAGCCGGAGGAGGAGGGGCCCTGGCGCCCCACCCAACACCAGGGCCAGGGGCTCTCTTTAGGCCTGGGTGGAGCTCTCTAGAAGTCCCTAGGAGCGGGCGTGGGCCCTGGTCATGCCTCATGGGCTGTCTCTGGGAAAAAAATCTCACGGCATCGCTGTACTGTATCCTGCGGAGAGACCACACTGTGGCCGACGGTCCGAGGGTCAGCGTAGATCTCGAAGTCATTCCCACCCTGCACACAAGGGCAGGAAGATGCACATACATGTGGTGCCTGGAGGAGGTTCCCTGGGCTAAGGCCCAGCACGTGCCCTGCCATGGGGTCCCCTCCCCACACTGGCCCCTGCAGAGCTGCCTCTCCTCCTGCCCCCTCAGAACCACCCGGACCCCCACCTTCTCAGCCTTCACCAGATCTGCCCTGACTTGCTGTGTGACATGGGACAAGCGTCCAGCCAGCTCTCAGCCCCAGCCTTCCAATCTGTGTAATGGGGCTGAGGAACACTGGCTGGTCTCCGGGAGTCTCCCCAGGGACAGTTCTGTCGCCCTGTGTCCTGGCCTTGACCTGGGGGTGAACTGGGGTGGAAAACATCTGGGCTGAGCCACACTCACGGGGCTGGTCTCGTTCCCAAAGAAGTGAATGGTGTCGAAGCTGTCCTGGCCGAGGCTGTCCAGGCAGTAACGCTTGTCCCAGCCCTCGGGGAAGACGTCAAAGCTGATCATGCCGCCTGCAGGGGGTGGCAGACAAGGCGAGCACAGGGGTGGCCCATGGGATGAACTTGGGCAAGATCCTGCATTTATTCATTCATTCAACAACCTGGAGTGCCTACGCAGAGCCAGGCACAGGGCATGGGAGCCTCAGGCTCCTCACTGAGAGCTATGGTCCCAGGGGGGCAGAACAGGCAGTGGGCAAGCCAGGCCACCTCAGAGCTGTGGGGCGGAGGGACGGAAGCTGCCCCAGCCAGCACCACCGGGGAGACCTCTCTGGGAGGGGACACCGAGCTAAGGCCTGAGCCAGAGCAGCCACTGCGGGGAAGCAACCATAGTCCCCGAGGCGGAGAAGGACACGGAGTGTCCCAGCACCAGAGAAGGCAGGGCAGAGGTGAGGCCATGCAGGCCCTGGGGTCCAGCAGGGTCTGCTTTTCGGGGAGCATCCCTCTAGACACTAGGCGGTGGGAGGACGGCTGCGCTGGAGTCAGCCAGAGCCTGAAAAGAGGCTGCTGGTGGCAGAGGTGTGAGCCGTGGTCGGATTCCAGGATTCTGGATGCAGGGCCCTGGGACTTGCTAGGAGACTGCCCTTGGGAAGGGGGTGCGGGAGAAACACTGAGGGAGACCTGAACTACTGGGTGGGTGGCAGGGCATGGACCGGGTTTGGGTGGGGAGGACTACCGGGCAGGAAGGCTTTCTAAAGACGCTGGGGAGTGCCGCGTGGCCTGGGGAGTGAGGCCCGGGGCTGGCTTCTGGGCCAGGCTCTCAGACCCTCCACGGGATGAGTGGATGCACGTACCTCGAGAGAACCTCAGCCCTTTGCCGGCAAACTCTGTTTTCAGGGCTTCCACAAACTTCTCCCGGATCTTCTCCTTCTGCAGGAGGGGAGGGAGCAGACTGAGGCTCAGAGGGCTGCCCTGTGCCAGGCCCTGTGCCGGGCACACAGCTGGTGGGAGCTCAGAGTCTTCCAGGTGGAGATCGTGACCCCCATTTTACAGATGAGGAAACCGAGGCTCAGGGAATGGCTGTGTCCTGTTCAAGGTCATCCAGCCTCAGTGGCAGGATCCTGCCAATGAGGGTGTGGGCGGGGTATCTGGAGGAGGCCTTGGAGTGGAGGCATGAGGAGAAGTTGAGGGGATGGGCTTTCCCCAGCGCAACAAAGCAAACCAGACACCAGAAATGAGCACGAGGAGCAAGAGCACGTGAAGACCTGTTACTACGTGGCAATGCGTGCTCCGAGAGAGGTCAGCAGGATGCCGGGCACAGCCACAGCACCAACCACATGGTGCAGGGGGCTGGGGGCCTCAGCAGTGCCAGGAATCCCCTGCTGCACCCCAGCCCTCGGGCAGGATCTTGTAAGTCTGCAGCATATCTAGAGACTCGGACTAAGGAGACATTCACTTATTTGGCCGAGGACCCCCAGCCTGGCCCTGCTGGGGCCACAGGCGGAACAGCCATGCAGGGCCTAGAGGGGCAGCATCTTGGCTCCTGTGCCGAGGGCCAGCACCACAGGGAGGGAAGGTTTGCGCAGTGCAGGCTCGCTATGCCCGAAGCAGCAGTGAGAGCCTGGCGGGACAATCAGCTCACAGACGGTCTGGAAAGGAGCTTGGACACATCCTAGGGGACCAAGAGCCACTGAGGATTTTGAAGCATGGGAGTAGAGTGCCTAGGACTGCATTTTAGTGGGTCCACGTCGGGTAGGACTGGAACGGAGAGAGGCAGGCAGTGGCCGATGGTTTGGGGCCTGAAGTGGGCCAGGGAGGACATGAGCTATCAGGCCAGATACGACCCAATCTGAGAGATAAAGGCAGGCCTCCTGGGTTCCAGGCCTGGCTGTGTGACCAGGGGTGAGTCACCTGACTTCTCTGAGCCTATTTCCTGGGCGAAAGGAAATTCTCTCCTAGAAAAGCAGAGAGGTGGGAGGTGGGCCCCCAGGAAGGCCAGAGTCCCCATCAGAGGCTACTTTGTGGGCCCAGGGTTAAGAGTTAAGGGTGCCCCAGGCTCAGAATAAATGTTCCCACACGGCCCAGGATGGCTGTACCTCCTGTCTCTGGAGAACCAGGCTGACGACTGGACAGCCCCATGTGTCAAGTCCAGCCTTAGCAAGGACCAGCGCTGTGACCTGGAGCTAGTCAGCCTACGGCCTCAATGTCCTCCTCTAAGGAAGGGGACTACTACTGGCCCTTGGGATCTGAAGGACTAAGGATGAATAAAACATTTATATGGGATCCTGGCTGGTGTAGGTCACACAGATCAGGCAGCTTGTGCCCTCCCCTCATACCAGAAGGGGGCGAACAAGAGCCAGAAAGACAAGAGAAGACCCTGGGAGCTGCGGGAAGGGTCAGCGTGTGCCAGACTTCCATCTTGCCCAGTCATTACAGCCCACGAGATGGGAACTATGCTCACCCCCACTTTACAGACGCGCAAACGGAGGCACACGATAGTAAAGCCACTTTTCCAGGCTGCTCGGCAAGCAGGAGGTGGAGCTGGGATTGGAAACCGGGTGGCCTAAGTAGGGGCCACCTCTCAGTATGTGTGTGGGAGGGGTTCTCTGCCAATGGTCAGTCTTCACCACCCCAAAAAGAAAAGCCTCCGTGCCCGTGGGCAGTGCCTACCCTAAGCCTTGGGACATGGAGTGGGAATGGGGGTGGGGGTTGGTGAGCATCCCTGAGAGTCCCACCCACCCTCAGGGAAGCATCACCAATTCCCTATGTGACCTTGGCAAGTCATTTTCCTCTCTGAGCCTCAGTTTCCTCATTCATAGAATGCGGACGACACCACCTATTTCATTCATTCAGAAAGTAGGTCTCGAGCACTTGCTGTGTGTTGGGCACGTGCCAGGCACAGGGGACCCAGCAGTGAACAGCCACAGAAATCCTGGCCCTTAAGGAGCTTACAGCTTCAGTGTGGGAGACAGACAGTAACCAAGATTTGAAAAGTAGGTGACAAGAGTGTATTAGAGGGTGGTGTTGGCTGCCTGGGGAGTAACTGGATAGGCGAGGAGCAGGAGGGGCAGGGG